GCATTTCGCCCTCGACGGAAAACAAATTTTTGTTTCAAATAAACATGGTTTATTTATTTTATTTTTTTTTGTTACCATATAAATCGTTTTTTCGTTTTTTCTCTTGCCGGATGTATATTATTATTGTCTTTCGTTTTTTGTGTGTACTCCTTATGAAACATTTTACTATGTATGGATAATATATCAAAAGTATAATAATATACGTGCTGCACGGAGCCAGAGATATTACTACTTTATCTTTTTCCGACGCGGAACTGAGGAAAAATAATATTATAATTATAATATTTAATGAGATACGTTACAGAAAAATATAATACAATAAAGGTTTGCGTGTACAATATGAAGCGTAATTTTTTCACACCATCCATGAAAAACGTACGCATCCATCATGATGACAAATCTCGTGATCAATGTCAAACAATAACGAGTTTATCTTGTTGTGTCGCATCAATTATTACGGAACAAATGTTTGCACCTAAACTATTACCTTGTATCATCTTGACCGACCGTCAGCAAACTATCCATGTATAGTATACGAATATATTTGCATGCGCGTTTATCCGCGAAAGTAATAATATCGTTATCGAATTATTTTAATTTAATACGGGATTTATCCGTCTTTATCCAATCGCACTGCCGTTTGTTTTTTATCCTTGCCGTGAAGTGCGATCGTCATGTGGGAACGAGAGGAGAGGTCTGTTTGACTGTGGCATTGGATGTTTATAAATATATAGATATTTTACAGGACGCATAGTTAATAAAACAATAACAATTCGTATCATTGTCAAATTTCAAATCTTTGCAGACACGGTTAGAACCAACACGGTAACTATGGCAACGATATTATGATTAATCGAAACGCAAAAACAAACCAAACGCGATGATCATTCTGTGATTTCTATACGAGTTCAAAAGGGGTTTTTTGTCCTTTCCGCAAAACGTAAGGAAAATCGAGTTACGCGTGGCGTATTGTGAGGTTAAACCAAAACAATGATTGACCGACGATAATATTATTATACAAGAGATAATACGGATTGTTTGGTAGTGAAGATTTTATATGGTTTTTCCAATAATATGAACTGTTATTATAATACCATATTTACTGTTGTTTATTCTTACTAGTAACGCATCGTCTTGTTATAAAACCGTCTCCCATAAAAGTATACAATAATATGTCCGCTACCGACGGACCAATAAATATAGTAACTTAACTTGTTCGAATATTTACCTATCTGATTTTTGAGAAAAAAAACAATTTTCTTTATTCGTTCAAAAAATATCATTAACAAAAAGTGTTAGTTAAACAATTACTTTACTTTGCATTGTTTTCAATGTTTTTAATTCGTTTACTATCAAAAATATATAAAAAAAATAGTTAAATAGTTAAATAGAGTTTTTTTTGTTCAAAATCAAATCTATTATTGAAATTAAATTTCGGTGAGAGATACAGCCTGCAAAACACCAAAAATGCACGAAACTAAACAACTAAACACAAATAAAAAATGTTGACATAAGGCTTACATATATCATATGCTAGTTAAAAATAAATATTTTCAATAGCTAAACATTTTAACCTTACGATAAAATCATGGTTATACACTAATAGTGAATACACGTCATGTTTGAAATGTATTACTATATTATTCATATTATTTTTAAAATTATGTGTGATCCTAAAATATTTGAAATAAATCATATATTACACGAAGACAATTTTTTTTAGTGCATTAAATTATTAATACATAAAAAAATGATATATTTAGATTAATAAAAAATCGTTATTTTCATTTGTCGTGAATCCGTGAAGTGATAACAAATTAAAAATAATTCAGTTATATTGTAATTACTAACGTACATACAATGTACTTATATTTCAAATATAAATATTTAATCAAGTTGTATTAATTGCCATTTCAGAATATTCAAAGTTTATATTATGTTATAAGTGTTCTAACTCAAATTTTGTAGAAAAACAATATAAAATTAAATAAAAACAATGAAACTTGTATACTTTATGTACGGCATCAAATGAAAAAAAAAAACTTACATACCATAATATTTAAATATTTAATATTTTATTTATGAAAATTAAAAAAAATTCTTGTTGCTTTTAATTATATTGTAATTGGTTTCAAATAATATTTCAGAAATTTTAAATAAATTACATAAATTCAGTCAGTGGCGACATTTCAGTTTTTTTTTAAGGGTGTGCAAGTAATTAAAGAGGCCAATTTTTTTCCCATCATTAACTTTAGCACTTATACGAGTATATCTATCACAGTAAGATGAACAAAATACAATAATCAAATCGACTAAAAATGTAACATCATATTATAGAAAATATAATATATTTTTAATTTTATTGCAATTAATTACATATTTTGTAATTCATTTTAAAATTAAGTATTTATTGAATAATGTGCATAATAATAAACAAATATATGAGTAGATATATGAAAAGGTTTAATGATTTTCTACTAATTTAGTAAGTTTATTTATATGGTACTTATACATTCTTGTATGTGAAGTATTTTTAACTTTCAAATAAATTTTGAATATTATCAATAAACTGGAACTAATATTCAATTCGCGAATAAATTTATTCTTTATTTTGTATTTCTTAGAACGAAAAACGAAAAAGACTGAAAACAATAATTACAAATAAAAAATACGAACTTGAAATTTTTTTAAAATTATGATAAATGTTAGAAAAATTACAGTAGACATTATATTTTTTAATTTAAAAATGTGTATGTTTTGTAGAAAATGAGTCCCGCTGAAGCGAAATTTTTGTGCTTCATTATGGATAATGTTGTTGTAATCTAATCATTGCCAAACACTATAACAAAAATTAAACAGTACACCTGCAATACATACATCAATCCTTAAGAAATAATGTTTTTTTTTTTACTGTCACTAAAAATTGCATAATATTTTTTAACCATTTTATATTAAATTACTCGAACCTTAAATTTAATGATTTAACAGTGAAAAAAATAAAACATTAAAATGTGTTTGATCAAAGTATAATAATTATATTTTGATCAAACACATTTTAATGAGAATTAAACGAAGAATTAAATTAAATTAATTAAAATTAATTTAACGAGAATTATTCTCATAATCAAATGCGCACGCACTTCATAATATCTGCGTTGATACGCTTCTATCTGACATTTATGTATTTATTTTTTCAACATTTAATATATTATATAGAAAAAATGTTTATCCATTTAATAGGTTTTGAAATCTCTATATAATTAAAAAAAATCTGGCTTCATGTGGAGACCGAGTGTTTATCCTTTTGTCGCATATCGTTCTACGAACGAAAAATATAAAACGAGTTTAATGATAACCTAAGGGCACATCCGAGCGGTAGCCATATTCTACAGAAAGTCATGAATGTTTTTTTTTTTTAATAAACATTTCTTAATTATCTTTAAGCTCTATCCTATTGAAATATGGTTGGCAAGTTGACTTTCATTCTTCATAAACGTTTTTAACTCGTCAAATTTATATTCATATTTATTTGATATCTGATATTATACACAGAAGTACTCTATGTAATATAATATTTTTAATGAAATTTATATAACATACACTAAACCACTTGTATAATATATATGTACGAAATAGTGCAGCCTTAAATGGACAATATTAAATTATATATTATACTTTTATTTTTCATTATCTTACATTCTTCGGCGTACCACTCGTCCTTTTTGTTGTTTTAAATATTGACATTTGAACAGATACAAAACTTTTGTAAACGTTCATCGTATACACTGTATACTATACAGTAATCGAGTAATATATATAAACCCTTATTTCCCTTAGTCACGACATAACTTGAGAACGGCTTAACCGATTTGATTTTTTTTTTCTTTTTTACTCAAAATTGTCTGGATAAAATTTTAATGGAATAAAATTTTTAGAAAGTTTACTGAATAAATCGAGTATTTGTTACAGTTAATATAATATATGATGTATTCGACGGTTTATGTTTGATAGATTCCTAAATTATTTAACAAATTTTGATGAAATTTGATACTGAGATAAATTATTTCTTGGAGAAGAATCGCGAATAAAAGAAAAAAGGAAGCATTAGTATATCTGATAAGGTGTTTATATTTTTAATAATAATTTCGACATTTTTTAAGCATCTTACTTAAGTATAGTTATAAGCATTAGAATCATAATTTATTGATATTATAGATGCGATAACCTATAAAAAACAAAAAAATGTAAAACTAATGCAAGGTCTTAACTAAATGAATGTATGCTAAAAAAAAATCTCACTTTAAATTACTTTATAATTTGATTCTAATAACGTCGTAAAAAGCTAATTATAATTATAAAAGACCTGTAGATTTTTATCGGTATTTTTGTTTTTTATCCATCCACATTAATTGCAATGAATAAGATTTATAAGTAATATAAGTATAACATTTTTTATTTTTCTGTAAGTGCAATTTTCAGTTGCAAGGTATAATAATATTCTATCCAGCTCTGATAAGGTTAAAGGTAAATATCAAGGCAAATATATAAATAAAATTATAAAATATTATATATAAAAAAGATTCGGTTTACTACTACAAAGAACTTATCAAAAAAAAATTTTTACACTCTTCTTATTCTACATACGCAAAAATATTTTTTAACTGTTTACAAGGATATTCAAATACATTTAATAATCAAATAATAAATTATTATTTTAATAGCATTATTAGTAATTTACATTTCTCTTGTACAGTAAACGTATCAAGTGTTAAATTGTTATATAATAACTTTTAGATCAGCTATAAGATTAAACATCAGTCATTACGTGTGTGCTTACTTGGTGTACATTGATTTTTATTAGATAAATAAATAAATTAATATCCATACACGTTGCATTCATTTGCTGATAAAACAGTTTGGTTTATCAGATAACTACTGATTTCGATTATAATTTTAAAAATGCCATAGAGAGAATATGTATTTAGTCCGAACATGTTTTACTGAAAAGTTTTCTTAACAGTTAATATCGTTTACAAACAAAAACAAACAATATTGAAAAAAAAATAAAACGCGCTTCCTTTAAAACTACTGACTAAATGGGTGAGTTCGTTTTTGACTAAAACAAAAATTTATATAATACTTTTAAAATAATAAAATAATGATATACAATGTTTGATTATGATGGAAACTACTATAATATATTAATGATGAATCAGGGTTTTACTCGTCTAGCGAGGTTTTAGGTTCACATACAGAGCATAATTCCATTTGCAACAGTATTAAGGTTTGTACAAAAACTAGGTTAGTCTTAGACTATAATTCCCTTTGGGGCGAAGCCCCATCCCCCTAAAAAGTGCCACGCAGTGAGACTCGAGTTTGCGAGTGGAGCCGGCAGGCATAACGAGCGAAGTCCTAAAATTTTAAAATTAGTTCCGATTTTTCGAAAAAAAAAAAAATGCAAACAATTTTCATTACGATAAGAGATCAAAACTTGATATAAAATATCGTTGGCTTTTATATTAATATTTTAATAATTATTAACAACAATTGCACATCATTGTTTTAAATGTATTATATACATTTTTGTTTTGATCGAAAAGGGAATCGGCCTATTTTAAATTTGGTCGAAAAGTGAATCAGTCGAAAAGGGAAGAGTACGTTTTTGGTTGAAAACGACAATGCCCGACTAAATATTGTATGCACCTATAGGGACTACGAATGCAATTTTGACATAATTCAATATTTTATTATTATTTCATTTATTCACACTACACTGTGCTTTTTTTATTTTGCTTTTTTCTACATGATAAATTATGGCGGTGAATGTATTAATATTTAACCACGTTAAATAAACCTTCGGCCTAGTAAAAAAAAAAAACACACAAAAAGACGTGTCGATGACTACATTTCATGCAATAAAAGGAAATATTCGATTTTTTGTCTTTTCCTGTTTCAAACACAACTGCGAAACATATCAATTATATAAACAATAGTTTAAACTCACACCTCGTATAGTACTTGTATTATATTGCTGTAACTATAATTGTGGAAGAACTGCGACGCATATAATAATTATTATTAATGAAGAAGTCAATTATTTATTGAACGTTATCAACTGACATAAAAATAAAAATGCAATTGACCACCTTAAAACTCGATACTCATGTATATCCCTTATGAACCCACGTCGCGCTGTAAAAATTGATTCTGTACTCAGTCGCGGACTGCCATCGAAATAGGAAACTCGGCCAGAAATATTCGTTCCACCGGATCGTGCATGTTGGTTTTTTTTTTTTACGGACATACGGACATTAATGTTTATTTTTTTTTTCTCAATCATACAATTTTACGTTTACTATAATATAGTACTATAACATTGCTTTCTTCTTATACGTTTCCATTTACAGGTTTTGAACTTTACAAAGGTTTAGTTTGTTACGGTTCAATACGTTGATATTGCATCGACAGTAGTAGTGATGTTTTCAGATTTTCTTTTTTCAACGAACGAAGTGTAAACCTATTTTTCTCTAGTAAAAATATAGAGACGAGAGAGGTGAGACGTAGTCATTCGATACATATTGCAAGGGAAAAAAATGTACTGACACCTATTGGTATGGGTTTTGGGAAATCATACACGCTCTTTCGGTGGACCTGGTCGTAACATTTCACTGGCGGAAAATATTATCCGTTTTTATCCGTTATGTGTTCGGTAGCAACTGTATAACAGAAGTGCGTTTCAAGATGTCACGCGTGATCGGGGGTGGTTATTGAACGGTTGATTTGCAAGATTTATCGATTCGAAAAGAAGCTGTACTCGGCCGCACCAGAATACCAGTGAAGATGTTACGTTTGAACATAACAGAAAAAAAGCACTATTTTTTATTAGTTATACCCACCTTACACAATCATTGCCCACTTGATTTTCCCGAAACGGGACAGTTGTAAAGGTGTGATTTTCTCCCACTACTACTTTTTATTGTATTTTATGTTTTTTTTTTTTTTTTTTTTTTTATTTTCTACTCAATCATTTGGATCGACACTTGCACGTTCAAGAGAAAATAAATTGCATACATTACGATACATGCGTTCCATTAAAAAAGACAAACAGTGCACACGTACTGCTGCACAAAGACCGTTTAACGTTACGCTAGAAAATAAAACGTTTCTTGACTGTGGATTTTTTCAATGTTTATACGGACAATAATCATTATTTGGAAATTTATAAAACGTAATTATCACTGAGCCGCGTGCAATTCAGTTCGTGTGTAGAACAGTTATAATATATTTTTTTTTTTGTTTCGAGTAAAAGGTTATAACTACAGATACGAAAAATAAAAAAATTAATAGGCTTTTAATAATTTAAAAACAACAGATTAATCTCGACGCGTAACCTGTATCGATAACATAATAGTTTATAGTTAATTGCGTACACGTTATTGTTTTATTGTACCATACAAATGAGTACTTATGCCATATTATCGCTGTACAATATCATGTTAAATATTTTCATCATCGTTCTTCCCTGATGAAATGAACTGTTATTTTGACTCATCAGCATTATTTAATAATTTTCCACACACACACACACACACACACACTTACATACACAGATTTTAGAAAAATATACAAATAATATTTGTGTAAACTTAAGCAGTTGACATTGAAGGAAAACGTGTTTTTACAATTATACATCTCACTAATTAATTTTCGTTGTAGAAAACCACACAGGATAAATTAGACTCTTAAATATTTTTTTCAGTTTCCTACTTTGCAATGTAAACTGCCTGTCTTAGTCGGTCTAAAGACTTCGTCCATTGATGGTATACTGTTCGTATGTGGTGGTTAAATCGAAGAAAAATTATTATTATGAGTATTATACAATACATATTATAGTCTATATTAATTTAAACTCTACATTAATTGAAATTATACATTTAGAATATTCGATCAAGGCGCATATTGGATTTGATTTATTAATACTTTAACCTGAAAATTTTTTTTCCGACATCATATAATATCGTTTAATGTAATTGAATACAGATATAATGTACTTACATATATTTGTTAATGAAAATAACGTTACAACCAATCATGATTACAAAATGACACATGAAATAAAACACATTCTTTGAAAATTGTATAAAAAAATACATCTAAAATGACGTTTCAGTAATAGCAGTACGTGTGGGTATGTTTAAGTACATCCGTTTTTAACTAACTAAACAAATTTCCTTTTTACGTCACATGCCTTACATTCATAATAATATGATGTGCAATTGCTTCGAGTGTACAGGAAATTTGTACCTTTATTCGTTGTTGATGAACCAAGTTCCGGACAAGTTAACAATGGCTTTTAAAATAGGTTAAATTATACATTTTTTCTCTTTTCGGTTTAACCGACCATTCAAGACGTGGACATTTTACAAACAATTACCGCCCTTAAAATTAAATCAACAATAATTAATTAAATATCAATATTAACTTTCGAACGCGCCCGACTGAATTAGTTTTTAATCTCCAACCAATAAAGATAGTCGAAGGACATTTTCATTTTTTCCCAAGTTAATACAAAAACTGAAACCTGCAGCGCTCAAAAATAATATTAAATTCGTTTAATCGAATCGCTCATCAACGCCAAACGCGCAGTCGATTAATGGAATACGATTTACTACCATATTATTATCCAACGGGACGTTATGTACGGCAACAGCTGGTTACAGTGGTTGCCGAGAATTATATGAGAAAACAGAATCTCAATAATTTACTTTTAGCCAAAAGATCTTGGTGGTATCACGCACGTGCGTACCATAATTTTATTACGATATCTACGATCGTTTGGTTGTGATATTGTATCGTTGCGCGTGTTTACGCAGCACAAGGGTTATTCGTTGGTCCTAAGAAAACAGTATAGAGCTTGGGGTTCGGAAACTTTCGACCTTAACGACCATAACCGTGGGTGGCTAATTTTGACGATGACGTGCAGATGATTATTAATACGAGCACACCGTCGGTCGCAAACGTCACGTCATTGCATTACTGAATAATAGCAATCAAAACTATCACAGAAGCGATTATAATAACGACAGTAACAATAGTTGTCTGTAGCATAACATGAACATGAAGAATAACGCCAGCGCCAGTGGCGTAAAATGTGAAGGGCCGCAAGACTTTACTTTGAACCTTTACTTAATACCAGTAGAAAAGATGGTTTTCAGTTTGCCAAGGACGCGAGAAAAAACTTCTTATGCCACTAATTATAGCATTGGAAATTATAACAAACCAATATTTCATAAACATATTTAAATAAAGCTATCGAGGTAACAAATAATTTTAAATTTTTACTTAAATATGACTGTTTTAATTTGTTGATTTTACAACAGTGTTCAACAGTTACGGACTGGAACGCTAAAAAGTATTGTCAAGGAGTATATGCTACTATGTGTACGATAATTTTAATTATTTAATAAATGTATATCAAATAATTACATGATTTATAATATTATTTATTGATTATTATATATATAATATAAAATACCTGATTGACTGATAAAATCAGTTTAAACGATTCACAAGACACAAATGATCTACTTCAAACAACTTTAATTTGTATTTTATGTTTCTATCCAGTGGCGTGTACAAGAATTTGAAATGGGGGGGGGGGGGTGTCATAAATAAAAATATATTATTTTCATTCTTTATTATTACACAAAAAAAAAAAAAAATGCAACCAAGGCAGATATTCATGCTTCGGGCTTTTACACTAAATTCATCAATTATTTGTTCTGTAGATAATGGAATTTCTCGATGTATGTTCATTAATGCCAATCCATATAACCGTGACTCACCCGTCGTATTTCATAAATACGTTTTTAAACTTTAAGAATAAAAAAAAAAGCCCACGAAGGGATATATCCCTCATCATCCACCCCTGAGCACGCCACGTTTTTTATCACACAATTACTGTGTATCATAAATGCATAGATAATTTTATACAATTCTAGTGATAATCTTAATAAATCATCAATAATACAATTTAAAATAAACTAAATTATTTAAGTAAAATAAAGAAATAAAATTGTAATTTATATCGTTTAATTTCA